ACCACGATAAATTAGGGCATTCGGGCGTCGACAAAGTATATGAAATGATTCAAAAAAATTATTGGTTCCCAAAACTCAGGAAAAAGGTGGAAGCGTATATTGCAAATTGCCTCAAATGTATAGCATTTTCTCCTAAATCAGGAAAGAAAGAAGGAATGTTACAATCAGTCCCTAAAGAATGTAGACCTTTCGAAACACTCCACATTGACCATTTTGGACCGGTTGAAAAGAATTCTGCAAAGAAATATGTATTATTAGCCATTGATGCCTTTACGAAGTTCGTAAAATTATATGCCACTAAGTCAACGTCGAGTAAGGAAGCGATACACTGTTTAGAACAATATTTTTATACCTATAGTAGCCCCAAAACGATAATCTCAGATAGGGGAAGCTGCTTCAGTTCAAAAGAATTCGAAGAGTTTGTGAAAGAATACGGGTTTAAGCACGTAACAGTAGCCACTGGATCTCCGCAGGCCAACGGGCAAGCGGAAAGGGTGAATCGAGTCATGAAGTCTATGCTGGCCAAGCTAGTTGATAGTAGAGATCGGAAATATTGGTATAAGTCGTTACCATTAGTCGAATATGCTTTGAATAACGTAATCCATAAGTCAGTAGGGGATACCCCTAGTCGTGTATTGTTCGGGGTGGAACAACGTTTGAAGTCAATAGATAAGGTGCACGAGTATCTTCCCCTCCATGCCGCCACCTTATCGTGGTGGAGGGGTACCGGCGATCCGATGAAGGCTCGGCGGCTGTACCTTTCGGTTTCGGCCGAAAGGGAGGCCCCTACCTGAGGATCGCTGGCGAACGGCGGCAACGGGGAAGGAAAACCCCCACAGAAAATCGGGCCGCGGTGGGCTGCAGCCCCGCGGTTGCTAGAGAGGGATGTAAATCTCTCCACTGCAGGGGAGCCCGGCGACTCCCACAGGGCCGATGGGCCCAATCGCCGGTAGGGGTAGGCGGCCCTGACTCCAATCGCCCGGCTGGCTGGGGCCGTTAGGTGGGGCTTGCTCCACCACCAGTCTTGGGGGGGGTTTCGTGGTAGGGGGGACCTCCGCTCCGGGACGGGTAGTCTCCCGTCCCGGAGGAGGAGAAGGTCCCACACGAGTAGGCATTGCACGCCGGTCTGGCAGCCGAAAGTGTGGGACACCCTCGAACCGTCCCTACTCGGGCCTCTGCCCGGGTAGGGTGGGGAGAAGTACCCACACCCGGGATTGCACGTCGATATTTTCCGACAACCCGGGGGGTGGAGAGGTGCGCGGGCCGCTTGGACATATTCCGAGGTCGGGGTCGCACACCCTGAGATGACCTTCCCGTCGGAGCTACCCGGAGACTTTCTCCGGGCCGGCGGGACGGGAGATGGAGTCGCAGGGACCTGTACATTGGCCCTCCCCACATTCTGTGGAGAGGTACCGCACACCGGCAACCCTGTGACTCCTCCTGGTCACGACCGCATTTCGCGGCGTGACCGGCCGTGATGGCCCCTCCGTGTGGGCAGCTGCGCACGGGGCATCTCAGGGGTCGGCGTGGCATTTGCCAGGACCCCTACAGCGGTGGTCCGACCAGCGTCGGACCTGTGCTCACATCGTAAACCCCCGGGGTCGTTATGTCATGTCTATGACGATCTCCGGGGGAACGAGGGCCTTGGCTTAACCGCCTAAGCTGCGAGGATGGGGACCTCTATAAACCCCCCCCTCCCAATCTCAAGTTTTGGGCCGAGGTGAGGAGATGGATGGCCGGCGGGTTAGTCGGTCACTAGCGGTCCACCCCGGGACACCTAGCGAACCCCGGGCGTACAAATCGCCCGACCCCAGCCGAGGGGGCATCGGCTGGGGAGTATGTACTTCCTCCCATTTTTAGAGCCCGCCCTGTACGCCTTCGGGTCATAAGGGGTGGGCAACTCAAGAATGATTTACTTTTACACAAAACCAAACGTAGTGGCGGGAGAGGGAGAGGAGGAGGCGCAGGCTTACGTCTGTTTACTTAGAGGGCGCGTTATGCCCAACGCTGAGCCGACCACCAGCTCAGAAGAGGGGGCACATATGGCGGTAGCCATAGAGAGGTCGTCCGAGGCCAATAGCGGCTTCGATAGGGAGGAAAATTTCGGGACGCAGAACCGCCCGAAAAGAACGGGGATCTCTGCGGGGCTACCATCAGCCCACGCATGTCACCGTATGGCGGGTGTGCCCGTCGGCAGCGCCGCACCGTTGAGGCTGCGCGGAGGAGCGCAGTCTGATGAGGATGAAGTCACTGGACCAGGGAAAATTGGATCTCCTGGCCCATCACGCGCCAAGGCGAGCCCGTCGAATACGTCGAATAGGTCCAAGAAAAGGAGGATTGATTCCTCCTCGTCCCCTGATCGTCCGGTAGAGGTGCTCGGCCGATCCGAGGACACGAGCTCCTCTGAGGAAAGTGAGGAGGGGGAGCCGGAGGTACGTATAAGGAGGAAGAAGAAGGACGGAAGAGGGCGCCCTCCGAAAGACCCAACACATGAGGGCTGCTTCACGGCGGAGGCCTTAAAGGCCAAGAAGATGCTTGCCAAGAAGAAGAGGCAGCACTTGGATGAGGATGCCGCCATCGATCCAACCACGATGGTTAGATATACCCCTAAACTACGGAAGGCCCGTGTAGAGGAGGCGGAACTCCTCGAAGGGTTTAGGGAGATTTCGTCGGCAGGCTTGAGCGCCATCGTCACAGAGCAGGTGGCCTTGCTCCGGAAGCTGGCTCAGGGTTGTACAAACCTGAAGGGGACCACCGTCGGAGCACTGTGGAATGCCTCTATACAGATTTCGGCGGCGGCAATGGCGCTCAATGTGCGGGCGCAACAAGGTGGTCATGCGGTAGCGCCGCCGGAGTGGGATGACCTCCGGGAAGAGGTCCGCCAGCTTCGAGGGGATCTAGCCCACCTCAGGGCGGAGAACCTGAGTCTCAAGACACAAAACGAGAGTCTTGGGACTCAGGTTAGGAAGTTGGAGGCCGATAAGGCTACTGCGGCGGCCGAGTCGACACCCCGAGCCTCCTCGCCTAAACCAAAGAGGTCGACTGCTGCACGGAAGGACCTCAGGGAATCCGGCAGCAGCGACGAAGAGGTGGCGGGGAGAGGCTACGAGGGGGAGCAAGCTCCCCAGGAGATAGACCCGACCAGCAGGGTGGCGATAGGGGAAATTATTCCCCCTCCATATCGCCCCCCCCCTAAAGGGTGCAAGGGCCATGATAGAGCCCGAACGGACTTATGAGGGCCCACAAGTACAGGCTCTCACCCTGGAGAACCTCAATGCGGCCATGGAAAGCCTCCTGCCAAAGCTGATGGAGAAACTATCATGTGCGAAGGTGGGGGCCCCCGTGGCCGCAGAAATGGGGGCTTCTCCAATGGAGGTGGAAATAGTTGCTCCCACTCCTACCACTGGCCCGGCTCGTAGTGAGCACACTGGGGTGAGGGAAGGGGGGAAGAGTCGCTCTGCCTCCCGGCGGCGACCTACAAGGGGATCGGCAGCGGGGGCGTCGACTCAAAAGAAGATTACCCCGACCCAACAGACCGCCGAGGAGAGTAGTGTGAAGAAGAAAAAGAAAAAGGGGAAGAAGAAGGGTGGGAAGGGGAAGAGAGCTGTCGCTTTGGAGGCAGCTGCACAACCTCCCACCTCCTCTTCCCCCCCATGGCCTCGGGCCGTGAAAAAGATAAAGCCGTTGAGGCTGATAGGAAGACGATGTCGGCGGCGGGGGTGACGGAGAAGAAGTCCACCCGGCCGCCCCTCCCTCAGCCGGTGGCTGGCGCTACACCTCCGCGGCAAGAAAAATGGTCGGAGGTGGTGAAGAAAAGGAAGGGGAGGGCTCCCAAACCCTCTGCAGTACCCCCTGCAGGGAAAGAGACGAGGTCCAAGGGGAAGGCAACGATCGCCCCTGCCCCGACAGCGAATAAGCAACCGGCCAGGGGCCCTAAACTTCAGCCCCCAAGGTCGGCTGCAATCGCGGTAACATGTCCTGAGGGCACTTACGCGGAGGCCCTCAGGACAGTCAAGAGTAGGGTCTCCCTCGGGGACCTGGGGATCTCCGCAGTCAAGAATAGGCGCGCGGTAACGGGCGCGCTGATTCTGGAGATCCTCGGCCCTGACGGGGACTAGAAGGAAAACACGCTGGCCGAGAGGATGCGGGCGGCGTTCGCAGACCAGCAGGGTGTCCGGGTCAACCGGCCGATTAAAAGGGCGGACTTCCGAATACGCGACCTGGAAGACTCGGTCACCCAGGAAGAGGTCTCGGCTGCGGTGGCGAGCGCCGCTGGGTGTGAGGCCAGTGCGGTTAGGGTGGGGCCCATTCAAGGTTCCCAGAGGGCTGGGAACGACCAGAGTAACGGCCCCTATGGCCGTGATCAAAAAGGTGGTGTCTTCGGGGCGCCTAAAGGTAGGTTGGGGGCTCGCCCAAGTGGAGCTACTGGCGGCGAGACCCCTGACGTGTTACAGGTGCCTCGAGGAGGGCCACACTCGCAGCCAATGCTGCAGCACCCAGGACCGCTCCGGGTGCTGCTATCGGTGCGGCGAGTGTAGCCACAAGGCGAGTGAGTGCACGGGGCAGATGGCCTGCCCCGTGTGCTCAAAGGACGGCCAAAAGGCCGTCCATCGTCTGGGCGGCGAGGCCTGTATCGCCGCCCAGAAGAAGAAGAGGAGGAAGGGAGGGAAGAGCGCCGCGGGGAAAGCCCGAGCTCCGACGAGCGCCTCCCCTCCAGCGGCCAGCGCGGCAGCAGTATCCCAGCCGGCTCAGCCGACTGAACCGGCCGCGCTGGTCGAAAAGGAGTTCCCTCCCCTGGGGCAGAAGAAGCCCAGGGAAGGGAGGGGAAAGGGGGAAGGGGGGTCGGTCTCGGAGGGGCCTACGCCTCCGGTAATAACAGATGTGAAGATGGATGAGTTGCCGGTAACAGCGGCGGATCCTCCGCTGGTGGGTGAGAGCGTCTGCCCACCGCCGGCGGAGGAGGTGGAGGTTTGTTTGGAGGGGCAGGATAAAGCCTAGAGATGGCCACCAAGCTCCTCCAGGCAAACGTCAACCACTCCGCGGGGGCCCAGGACCTACTCCTACAAGCCCTCGCGGAGAGGAATGGCGGTCTTGCGCTCGTGTCGGAGCCCCATCACATCCCTGAAAGGGACAGTAGATGGCTGGAGCTCCGGCGCGAGCACCCGGGCGCCGCAATCTACTGGCGCTCGGGAGAGGAATCTCCCCGCCCAAAACTAATCAGGGCGGAGAGATATATCGTGGCGGCGGAGTGGGGTACAATAAGAGTGGTCTCCGTGTATGTCCCTCCACGCTCGAGAGAGTGGTCGAGGGCCCGCTTCGGGGGTTTCTTGGAGCAGGTGGGGCGCGTGCTGGACAAATGCGCGCCCCACCCAGTGATAGTCGCCGGGGACTTCAACTCCCACGCCAGGGAGTGGGGTTCCCGGCAGACGGACCCCCGAGGCCAAGACCTCCTCGAGTGGGCGGCGACGAGGGGCCTGTTCCTCATCAATACAGGCTCCGTGAGCACCTGTGTGCGTCCGCAGGGCGAGTCCATCGTGGACCTGACCTTCGGCAATCGCCCTGCGGTGCGCACAGTCAGGGATTGGAGGGTGGCGACCGAAACGGACATCAACTCCGACCATCTGCTGATTGAGATGTCCGTGGTCGCCACCTCAAAGGAGGTGCTCCGTCGTCGCCGAGAGGGGCCGGATCGAGGCCACCGCACTGGGCACTCCGCCGCCTAGACGAGGACGCCCTCAAGGCGTCGGTGATCGCGTCCTCATGGGCGGGGGTGGGGGTTGACCCCCCCCATTGCTGGCCCGGGAGAACATTGAAAAGGAGACGGCCGGACTCGGGGAAGTCATGGAGGCAGCCTGCGACTCCTCCATGCCCCGAGCTCGGCCCACCCCCCGCCGTGCCGCCTATTGGTGGTGCGAGGAGGTGGCGGAGCTACGAAAGTCCGTCATCCTCCTCCGGCGTCGCGTACCGCGCATGCGCGCGGCACGGCGGAGGGGGCCGGCATGGGATTTGGCGCGCGGGTCTCTCCGAGCCGCGCGGAGAGACCTGCGCAAGGCCATAGCTAGGGCTAAGGCCCAGGCGTGGCAGCGGCTGCTCGAGGAGTTAGATAGGGATCCGTGGGGGCGCCCTTACAAAATTGTCCTCGGACGTTTAAGGACTTGGGCGCCCCCAGTCACGAAGGATCTGGACCCTCAGGCGCTTGATAATGTGGTGGGGACCCTCTTTCCCACGGCGGGGCCGGAGCCCCTGCCGTATGAGGGCCCCCCGCCTGGATGGGAGTCGCGCCTGGGGGTCACCGAGCCGGAGATCGCAGCCGCTGCCAACAGGCTCGGGGGTAAGTCCAAAGCCCCCGAGCCAGACGGAGTGCCGGGCAGGGTGTGGGCCTTGGCCCTGAAGGAGTTAAGCTCCCGCCTGAGGCGACTGTTCACGGACTGTCTCAGAGCGGGGGTCTTTCCCAGTCGGTGGAAAAGGGCCCGTCTGGTCCTCCTACCCAAGGAGGGCCGACCAGCGGGGGGCCCGTCCGCTTACAGGCCGATCTGCCTGTTGGACGAGGTGGGCAAGCTTTTCGTGAGAGTGATTGCCGCCCGCCTCGTCCATCACCTCTTCCGGGATGGTCCCGACTTGTCTGACAGACAGTTCGGGTTCCGCGGGGGCCGCTCAACAGTAGACGCGATACTGAAGATGCGGTCCCTCGCGGAACAACAGGTGGCGGAGGGAGGGGTGGCGTTGGCGGTGTCACTCGACATCTCCAACGCCTTCAATACCCTCCCTTGGGACCAGGTAGAGGCGGCGATGCGCTTTCACCGCTTCCCGCCCTACCTGGTCCATATCATACGGGACTATTTCCGGGAGAGGAAATTGGAGTTTAGCAACGCTGCTGGACTCCAATGCGGACGGGCCATGTACTGCGGGGTTCCACGGGGGTCGGTACTCGGACTCCTACTTTGGAACCTCACGTACGATTGCGTTTTAGGAACGGCCCTCCCTCCCGCCTGCACCATCTGCTACGCAGACGACACTCTGGTGCTGGCGGGAGGCACCGACTGGGAGGAGGCTACGGCTACAGCCAACGTAGCCGTAGCTTGTGCCGTGCGCTCCATACGGCGGCTGGGCCTATGGGTGGTCCCCCAAAAGACCGAGTGTATGTTCGTGTACGATCGGTCTGCGGGGGTCCCCCGAGGTCCAGTATCATGGTAGAGTCAGCCCGCGTGGAGGTGACCCCAGGCATCAAGTACCTGGGGCTCCACCTGGATGGCCAGTGGGACTTCACCTCTCACTTTGAGAGGCTGGGTCCCAAGTTGGGGAGAGTCGCGGCTGCACTGTGCAGCCTCCTCCCCAACATCGGTGGTCCGGACAACCGGGTTCGCAGGCTGTATGCGAACACCGTCACGTCCATCGCCCTATACGGGGCGCCAGTTTGGGCGGAAGGGGCGGGGGCCAAGCGGCGCATCGTGCAAATTTTGCACGGTGCGCAGCGACTAATGACCACCCGCCTAGTCAAGGCGTACAGGACGGTGTCGCATGCAGCCGTCACGGCCCTGGCCGGCATGATACCGGCGGAGCTCCTGAAGCGATTGTACGCTGAAGCGTACAACAGGGTCGCGGAGCTCCGTCGGCGAGAGGGCGACCATCTGGTCACGGCCAGGGACGTGCAGAGGATACGCGACTCGGCCCGGCGTAGGGCCCTCCGGCGATGGCAAAGATCGCTGGGGGCCCCAAACACGCCGGGAATCCGGACCATCGCGGCCATCCGTCCCTGCCTGCCGCAATGGGTGGGCAGGGCACATTGCGGGCTGTCATACCATATGACACAGGTGTTGACCGGGCACGGCTGCTTCGGTCGATACCTGTGTCGAATAGACAAGGAGCGCACGGCACAGTGCTACCACTGCGCGGCTGGTGAGGACTCCGCGGAGCACACGCTGCAGGAGTGCCCAGCGTGGGCTCAGGAACGCGGGGTCCTCACCACAGTGGTCGGCCAGGATCTCCGGCTCCCGAGCTTCGTACCAAAGATGCTCGAGAGCCGGGAAGCATGGGAGGCGGTGGCCTCCTTCTGTCGTGACGTCATGTCGCAGAAGGAGGCCGCCGATTGCGTGAGGAGGGGAAAGGTGGGGGTCGCACCACCTCCCTCTCACCCCTCTTCCCCTGCCCCGTCGGATAGGCGGGGGAGTGATGAGGAGGAGGAGGAAGCCCCCCTCCCCGGGTACTGAGGTCGAGGAGAGGCAGGCGGCGTTTGAGGACCCACCAGCTCCCCCTGTACCGCTTGGGGGGAGCTGGCGGGGTCAGATGAGGGTAAGCCGGGCTGTGTTCGCCTCCAAGAGGTTCTGAGGGGTAACCAGTCTCCCACTCTCGGGGGCGGCACCGTCCGGCAACGAGGAGGGCCGGTAAAGGCCCTAATTCGTGTCCCGGCCTAAGCCCGGACACGTGGGCGGGCACGATCAGTGCGCCTGCCCGGGCCGCCCAGTACCAGGGGCGGCCCCCTGGCAAACTCTCTCCCCTCGGGGATGGTAACGGTAAGCCGCACTCTGTGGCAGACCTAACCTCCCCCCGAGGGTTAGGGACAGGGGAGGGGGTCGGAAGCGGGCGGGTAATCCCGCTCCCTGCCCATCTCAACCTCCCGACTTGGAGGGAGGGGCTGCGAGGAGGAAGGCGTCCCTTCCTCGTAGCCAACTAGGAATATAAAGCGCCGGCCGACTAGGCCGGCGCGGGAAGAAGCGCGCGAGTGCAAAGGTGCCGAGGGCCCCCTGAAGAATACTAGAAAGTGTACCGGGGGGCCCTTAAATAATGGCGCACATGATGGACATCCCCAGGGGTTTTAGTGGATATACCTCCCCCATTTAGTGGAGGGAGTCCCACATACCCTCGGAGGCTTACCCGAGCCTCCGGGGGATGCGTAACGCATTTTCCCTGGGTTATAAAAAAAAAAAAAAAAGATGCACGAGTATCTTGAGGAGCAGCGAGAAAACGGCATACGCGACCTAGATGTTATTAGGAGTAAGATGGAAAATTTGATAAGTAAGACGCAAGACTACAATAAGACTTATGTTGATAAGAAACGAAAGAAACCGCATAGATATAATGAAGGCGATTTTGTGATGGTACGGAACTTTGAAAGTACGCTCGGATCCTCACACAAACTGATCCCCCAGTTCCGGGGACCATATAGAGTCACAAAAGTATTGCGTAAGAACCGGTATGTCGTGGCAGATGTAGAAGGGTTCCAGGTCACTCAAAGATCGTATTAAGGAGTGTGGGAGCCCGCTAACATGCGACCATGGCTGGGAAAAGATAGCGAGAATCTTGATAAGATTCTCGCTTCTGTAAGTGATTGATTGTAAAACGACTGAGGACGGCCGACTGGTCAGGATTGGCCGAAAACTGTAAGAAAACGGTGTGAGTCGCTACATTAAGGTCCTGCGAGCATATATGTATGAGTAACAAGTGCGTGTTCCCTCGCCGTCGAATCCCATTGGTTTAGGATGCGCGTAGGAATATGCGGAAGTCGGAGGGGGCGCGTGAGGACAGAACGTCGGGAGACAGCGAGGTGAACGGTGCGATGTAGTGTGACAAAGTTATATACGTTATTTTTTGGTTAAATAAAACTGAGACTTTCATTTTATTTTCCCTACACAAAGAAATTAATAGAATCCACCTCAAGAAGATTGGAAGCTATTATTGAAGCTAAAGGAATGCATACAAAATATTAAAAACATAGACAATGATTAACAAACTGAATAATTATAAGTTGCCATCACATTCACAAATGTGCAAATACTTTTTTGATGTATAAATTTTTATTTTTCTTGCATTACTTTTGTTTCGAACAGAGGGTGGAGAGCGGCCGGTTCATTTTGCGAGATGCGGATAGGTGTCCGCTCGCCGCGTGGAGACCGCGGACTTCGTCGCCGGCAGTTCGCTATCCAGCGGCCCCGTGAGATGACGTGGGGTGCAAGTGATTCGCGAAGCTTTTGGAGACGAGAGTATGCGCCTCCGTGTTAGGAGAAGTCCCCCTCGTCGGAGGATGAATAATAATGAGGACGTAACGTCGTGTGGACGACGTAGCCTAAGTCTCGCGGGGACTTAGGCGCGAATGTAACTCGCGCGTTGAGTCACGTATGCGACGGGTATAGAGTCAGTGTCGGTATATAAGCGAACGTGGCTTGCGTAATGCCTGTTCTACAATACGTCGTATGTCGGAGTCGGATGTCGGACGCATGCGCACTCGGTTGTCGGCTGTCGCATAAAGCTGTCGGGAGTCGGTTGTCGCTATCGTAACGAGAGTTGATCAACTCTCATCTTTTCCGACATCCAACTTCCGACTGTACGACTATTGTAGTATACAGTATAACTTTATTTTCATCATAGAATGTGCAAGTTTAGATGAAATAATTATTG